GTTCCAGGGCTGGACTTTGGACCTCGCAGGCCACGGGGAGGTCCCGGCTGAGCTTCCTGCCTTCGCTTCCTTTGCCAGGTCGATGTGGTTTAATTTAGGATCTGGTAGGATGTAGGAGGAGTTCGAATTTCCCCTCCTTCTGGTACTCCCTGCCTTCATTTATCAGCACTAACCTTTATTCGTCGTTGTCCCTAACCTTGTTTGGCTCCTTCTGGAACACTTTGGTCCTGCTGGTCCTGACTGATGGTGCTGTCATCTCTGAAAGTTGCCGTCGTTCTGTCATCGCTCCTCTTCCGTGAATTATGAGTACCCCGAGCAATGGCAGACCTTGCCTGGAATATGTGATAGATGAAGAGAGGTAGCAGTGTATTTCGGCAGCTTTCTCATCGTACACTCCATTTTTAAAGGAAAGAGAATGAAAACTCACCAAAGTTAGTCAGATTTTTTTGTATTTAGACAGTTATTCAGATCTTTAACTTCCTGATGAGGCCATCATGAACATGACGACTTGTCACACACGCGTGGCTGACATCGAGTTGCCTGGACCTTAGAGTTGAAATCCTTTGAGCTGCAGAATGATGCCCAGAAAAGACCGACCCAGTTTTCCAGCCTCACAGCAACATGCATGAAAACAGAAAGGCCCCAAAAAATGATCCTGAAGAATAAGTGTCCAAATCTGTTTCTAGGCACCACGTTGCCAATGTACAGGTTAGGAGGCTTGCTCTTCCGTATTCTGTTTGGAAAATGCTTGGTGTGTGTCCTCTCTGCATCGTGTTTTGGCTGCCCTGTGTGAACGATGATGGCTCTGAGATAGGAGAAAGAGACTGACAAGAATTCTTTGTGATTTTCTCTTTCCTGAAGTTGCGTATGGGGTTGAATACGAGCTATCTGATTCTTCCCAAAGAGGATCAGTAAGCTGTAATACAGACATTGTGCATGATTTTTCTTAGAACCTTTGTGGGGTTAAAAATTCTTGCTTGGGGAGAGTCCTTGTAATTCTGAACTTTTTAACACACAAAATGAACAAATTGAAACTCACTCTCTCATTTTATCTTTTAGATCACCTTGTATGTAGAGTGTTGTGAGTCTATGAAGCACCTTAGCAGTTTCTTTCGCTCCTCCTAGAAGGCCAGGTGTCACAGGAAAACTTCACTTTGTTATTACAAGACTTAAGTGGCATCCAGAAGCGGCAGCGGATTTACCGGCCTCCTGCTGGGTGGATGGCAGCACCATTAAAAATGTAATATTTCAGGAAGTTTACTTCATTCTCACAATATCCCTCTGCTCGTGGCTGTTGATATTTGAGTCTATCTGAAGAGCGTGAACTTACCAAAGGCTCTTTGGTTTTGTGGTGGGTGCGGCGAATGGGAACGAGCTGCTTCCCCTCGCAAAGAGTAAGTCTTAGCGGCTGAGCTGTTTGTGTGGTTCTCCTGGATTGATATGGTGAAGGTTTTGTCAGAAGCAAAACTCCTCTTCTAAAACAGGGCTCAGACATGAAGCAAACGCTGAGCAGCACACGCACAGCATGTGGGAGGCACGTTTGCACGCTCCAGGCACTAAACTGTGTTGTTTTTAAGTAGCGCTGGTTTTAGTATCTGACCAATCTTCGTGTCTTGCAAAATACTCTCTTGTAACACACTTCTGAGCCGCTTCATGTTTCCTTTCTTCAGACAGGAAATTAGAGCAAAGAGGCACCTGAAATCATGAGGATGTCTTTGATAATTGAGAACAGACCTCAATTGCCTGAACTCCTTAATTCTAAGTTAACCCGTGCTCCTTTTTATGAGTCCCTGGTTCCTGCAGAGCCAGCAGATTGCCTGCAAATTTCTGTAACGGCAAAAAGGAATTAGATCCTGGGGCCAAGCGGAAGAGATCAGAACTGCAATTTCCATTTATGTGTAGTTTGGGGTGGGAAGCAGTGAAGAGACTGACCTGGGGATGCGCATTGTGTCAGCAAAGGTTTTTGATATCAAAGTACAATTTCCTGCAGCTTTATAATTTACTCTGTTTTTAGTAAAAAATTCTTGAAGTAACTTTTATATTACTTTAGGTTTAATTTTAAGAGGAATAGGATTCCTGGTTCGACGAGGGGGAGCTCTCCCTGGGCCTGAACGCCTGGGTCTCGGCTCCTGGGTGTGCGAGGAGACTGGGAAAGTCCCTGTTGTTCTGTAGCATTATCTGATGAGCGCATTGTCATTTCATAATTCCCGGAATTTGGCACGTCGTGCGCCTGGGGTGAAGCAGAGAGCAGCTAACAGGCTACTGCTCATCACTCGCAGAACAACAGTGGGTGTGTGAAAGGATGTTAAGATTATAAACCCTAAACACTCCCAAGAAGATGAAGATAGTTCACTTATCTCTGCAGGTCCCAAAGGGAGAAATAAACTAGTAGATGTCTTTGAAAGGCTGCGTTGCTGTTGGACGCAGTGACAGTGAGAGGGCAAGGCCTGGCTGAGCAAGGGGAGTTACATCCTGTAGAGTGTGAAAAACATGATTGCCTCATTGTTCTGCTGAGGCCTTCCATTATTTTCAGTTTGTTTATTTAGTGAAGCTTTGCCTGGTTTGGAAAGGAGCAGAAATCCAGAATCGCTGCTGGGTCTGGGCTGTGGCATTCACTTGCAGAAATACTTGGAGAAGCTTTTTTTCTTTTGCCTGTAAAAGAAATATAATCCAACGCAAACACATATGTTGATATCACTGCTGGCGGGGCTGTTCTGTTGCAGGACAGCTGTTTGATTAAGAAGAGTCTGTGCATTAGCCAGGATAATTCCAGAACAAAGTTCTTACCTTTCCTGCATGAACTTTGTGAAGCTTATAGCAGGATACAACCAGTGCTGACATTGCACTTACTGGGGAGCTGTTTGGAACCTGACTTGGTGATGATGGGAACAGAATTGTATTGCTGTATGTCTGCTTGGTAAACAATACGGAAAAAGGCAAAGTTGTCTTAAGTCAAGAAGCTGAGTTTTCCAAAGCAGTTGTAAGTAACCGCCAAGCCGGCGAGAATCCGCCGCGCTGCCTCTCCTCCTGCTGGGGCGACTCAAATGTGTTTTCCTTCTCTGCCTTCCTGCAGGTCTCTTCCTTCCTGGAAATTCAGCAAAGAGTTAGCATTCCCAGGCTGTTGGATCTCTTCCACGTTAATGGATAACATTTGATATGTGCCCTGTAACTCCTGCCCTGGGACTCGGTGACCGGTGGGGTGCCCGATGCCTGTAATCCCCATTCCCCGCCGGGTCCGTTCGTTCCACGGCCCCCACACGACCTGCCTGCATTCGGCCTGTGGCCCCGTGAGGACCACTCACTTGGTGCGTACCAAGTACAACAATTTTGACATCTATCTCAAATCCCGATGGATGTACGGATTCATCCGTTTCCTGCTGTACTTCAGCTGCAGCCTCTTTACCTCCATCCTCTGGGTGGCACTCTCTGTCCTGTTTTGCCTTCAGTACCTCGGCATCCGGATCTTTCTGCGTTTCCAGTACAAACTCTCCATCATCCTCCTCTTACTGGGGCGAAGGCGGGTAGACTTCAGCCTCATGAATGAACTGCTCATCTACGGAATTCATGTGACCATGCTGCTAGTGGGGGGGCTGGGATGGTGTTTCATGGTATTTGTGGATATGTAAATAAAACAAGCGCATGTGGGCTAAGAAGGTGACTTTTCTTCTACCCCCAAATGTGTCAATATCTCCTTTTCTTTTTTATATAAATTAATTTATTTATCAGTGCTCCTTTTTTTGATAAATTAATGGACTTGTCTCTGGAATTTGTATTTTTTTTTGAGGCTAGAGGTGCCAAACTTGATGGAATTTTTTTTTTCTCTTTGCACAGTGCAAGTTAATAATCAGTGTCTTCTAGTCCCTAGGGGCCTACCTTGCTGCCGTATTCCTGTGGGTGTGAAAAAGGCAGTGATTTATCTGGAGGACAGAAACCAGATAAGTTTGCAGCCCACACTCTTAATCCATCTTCACCCTTGTTCTAAAAATGTTCTGTAATGTCTCTGGCATGCAGTGTGTATCCTGCTTGAGCAGTGTTATCCTTTCTCTGTGCAGTTTGAATTTTGCGTATTCCCTGCTAAGAATACGGGGCCAAAATCAACGTGAAGGGGTTTGGTGCTGGTTTTAGATTTTTGCAAGACATGCTATTGACCCACCATACCCTTCCATTCACTTTCACGCAGTTATATAGCTTTGAAGGGCTTTGTGCTTTTCAGGCTGTTAGTGCTGAGTAATTGAGTCTGACCCTGACAGAACAAATCCACTGGCGTGATGGGAGCTGAGGTTGGGATCATGCGCTCCTGAAATTCCCAGTCACGGCAAATAGCGTTGCCGGTTTGCAATGGTTGAGGGGAACCCGTCACAGCGGTCTGTAGCCTTTGGATCTTGGCGTTTGGTTCGACTTTCCCCCAAATTGGTTAGTTCCAGTTTTCTCCCAGAGATGCTTCTGTCTTGTGGATTATGGCGAGGTGAGGCTGTCTCACCTGGGAGAGGTTGAAAGCAGAGCACAACCTGCTGCGACGACAGAAAATGTTCTCCTACCCCTGCAGCAGTGAGAGTGGGGTCACTGCAGAGCTTTACTAACAGCTTCAAGAAGGGAGTTGAGCATAAAGCTGAGTTTTACTGGTCGTGATCTAAGATGTCAGACTGTTCCTCTGCAGACAGTCAAGTAACTTTATTTATAGAGTCCAGAAGTTGGCCTAAAGTTTATTTTTATTCTGGTTTTGTTTGGTTTTCCTTATATTGCTTTTTTTCCCCCATGTTCTTTAAAGAACTGTTTAAAAACAAGTTGGTAAAAATTGGGACTTTATTTTTTTTTGCCCCCTGTGAAATCAATGGAGTTGGTCATAACAGAGTAAGCAAGACTGGAAATCCATGAGTGTTCTTTCCTGATCTCTTTGGTCTGAGATATGAATGTGATTGAGAACAAAGCCAGTTTGCACACATATGAAGGATGCTTCATATTTCAGCTTGTGAGTATTGCAGTCTTTTGCTGACATACTTTGATTTGTAGACTTATGGATGCAAAACAGAGAAGCTTCTGTCTGAAGCCCAAAGCTAAAGCAAACCCAGAAATTATCTCATTATCAAGTGTAACAGATAATGCAGCCTGAACATGCAGAGCTGAATAAATAATGGGCCACGGTGGTGTGAACTTTAGATTAGCCCCGCGAGACCCGAAGGCTGTTTCTGCAGGAAAGATGTAGTGTCAGCATATGTCACAAACTGGTGTCTGGAAGTTTCCTCCTCCCTGTAGAGCTCCCCAGAGTCTACTCCTGGGATCGCTCTCTGGACTGTGGGACCTCAGTGTCCTGCAGGTCCAAGCTACAGCTCGCACTGTAGGCAGAGGGGAATTCCCAGTAATTCCCAGCCTGCTGGTTTTCTCCCCAGTACAGCTGTCAGCCCCGGGGCGCTGCAGCTCTGGTGGTGGACTCCAGGGATGGCTGTGCTCGAGAAATTCTGCAAGAAGCGCGTTGCATGTGGCCGCCAAACAGCTGTGACTGTGAGACCAGCCGGGCCCCCAGCGAGCCCCCTCCCTCACCGCATGGAGACTGGTTGGAGGTTGGGTGGTAGGATCTTGTTTCACTTCAGAGTGGCTGTGTTTTAGTAACTCCTTACAACAAAGTGTAAAAGAGTGATTTGCGGTACGTGGGGGTGCTGCCCACTCGTGCCTGCTTCAGCTGGTGGATACTCTCTGTGGAGGATGTGCTCGACCACTTGACCAAGTCCGTGGTTGTTTGGTTCAGTCTCTGAAGGATGTAAAGGTCTAGGAAGTGACCAGGTCATGAACTTCTCTAGTTCCAACCTTTTCTTTGAAAACCCACGCGGGAACAGGGCGACGTAGTGAGCTTTGATGTATGTGAGCTTAGAAACCGGAACGCGGATCATGTGATTAACACATGAATAGCAGGTGGTTCTTCCAAGCATATTTTGTCAAGAAACAAAGGAGGCTGTGGCACGAGTCTCATGCTTACCTTTTCCATCACATAATTGGACTGCGAGCCAACCGCTTTATTCCATAAACATGACAACCCGAAGGAGCTCCTTTTTTGAGCTCTCCCTGCTGAGCAGCTGGCTGCATGGCTGTGATCTCCCCTTGCACTGGGAAGTCTCTCGAGATTACTGCTCGAGGTTGAGAGACCCCTTAGCACCACCCATCTCTGGTAAGTGACCGATGTTGCTCATAACCTTGTATCACAGGGCCTTAAAAATCTTATGTTGGCGACTTTGCATCATTATTATACCGTCTGTGCAGTAAGTAATAGACTGAACCTTGCCGTCGGACTTTGTTAAGCCTCACTTTTACACCACCTTACTTCAATAAACCCACTTCTGCTGCTCCCTTTGGCGGTGGTTCTTTAAGCGGTCCAAGTCTGCTCCGTGACGCTCCTGCAGCCACAGTTCAACAAGCAAGGGCTTGTGCGCTGCAGGTTGTTACTTTGCTGCCCGTCAGCCCCGTGCCTCCAGATGCGGTGGTGCGTACCGAGGAAAAAGTGCGTGTCCTTATCAAATCACGGAAAAGTAACGTTTTCCAAATGTTCCTGGAGAGAGACCTTGGGGCTAAGTTGCTGAGAAGACTGGGAAGCGATTTCCCCTTCTTTTATGAAGGCAGTCAAGTAGCTGCTGTCAGAAGACCCCGAATCTCAGGTCTGCAATTGTGTGCAGAGATGGATGACCCCAAGGTTAAATAATTGAGGAGGAGGCCTCCAAGGTGCTGTGAAGTTCAAAATATTCTCCTTCTTGGTCATTACCAGCACTTGGGCAGCTTGCAGTGGCGTGATCCTACCCGTGTAGTCGGGGAAGTTGAGGTCCCTTTCAAGTCATGCTGGCAAGGAAGAGGAATTAATTTTCAAATGATTTGTTTTATGATGTAATAATTTGAACATTTTAGATCTATGTGAGCGGAGCAGTATTTGGCTCCTTTATGGCACTTTCCTCTTGAAAGCAGTTTCCACCTAGAGCTAATTAAACCTCACAACATCCCTGGGAGATTGCAGAATAAGTAAGATCTTGGTAATGGTTCAGAACTTAAATTCAGTGGGTTTAAATTTGAATAATTTTTTTTTAAAAGCTTGTAGGATTACTTTGCCAAAATACTTTTTTCTCAAGGAGCTGAGATTCTAAAACTTTCCTACAATCTCAGGGGGAGCCAAGCTGCAACTGAGAGAGAGAGAAAGAGGCAAAATAAATGTTGTATTACGTATATGCAAAGAATAAAATGAGGGTTTTTTCCCCCCATTTAGTTTAATTAAAAAACTTGTCATTTTAAATAGCAAGGGAAAACAAAACTTTGTAGAATACAGGCAAGGAAATAGAGGAAGGTGAACTTTCTGCTTTTCAAGAGTCAGTTAAATGGTTTATAATGATACTTGCCAGAAATATTTCATGTTGAGCAGATACTTGCAAACTGTGCCCCATTGGGGAAGTTCATAATCTTTTGGATTTTTCAC